GCTATGCAAAAGCATTTGATTATGTGGATCATAACAAATTTTGGATAACATTGAGAAGAATGGGAATTCCAGAATACTTAATTGTATTCATGAGGAACCTGTACATAGACCAAGAGGCTGTCCTTCTAACAGAACAAGGGTTTAAAATGCATGGTTTAAAATCAGGAAGGGAGTGCATCAGGGTTGTATCCTTTCACCATAATTATTCAATCTGTATACTGAGCAAGTAATCCGAGAAGCTGGGATATATGAAGAAAAACGTGGTATCAGGATTGGAGGAAGAATCATTAACAGCCTGTGATGCACTGACAACACAACCTTGCTTGCTAAAAGTGAGGATGACTTGAAGCACTTACTGATGAAGATTGAAGACTGCAGTCTGCAGTATGGATTACATCTCAATATAAAGAAAACAAAATTTTCACAACTGGACCTATAAGCAGCATCACGATAAATGGAGAAAAGATGAAAGTTGTCAAAGACTTCACGTTGCTTGGTTCTACAATTGACACCAGTGGAAGCAGCAGTCAGGACATTAGATGACATATAGCACTGGGCAAGTCGGCTGCAAAGGACCTCTTCAAAGTGTTGAGGAGCAAAGATGTCTCCTTCAGGACTAAGGTGCACCTGACATAAGCCATGATATTTTCAGTTGCCTCATATGCATGTGAGAGCTGGACAATGAATAAGAAAGACCAAAGAAGAATTGATGCTTTTGAGATGTGCTGACGAAGAATGGTAAAAATACCACAGACTGCTAAAAGAACTACAGATTGGTCATGGAGGAAGTGCAGTTGGAATGCTCCTTGGAAGCGAGAATGGCCAGACTTCATCTCACTTACTTTGGTCATGTTGTCAGAAGGGACCATTACCTGGAGAAGGAGGTCATGCTTGGTAAGGTGGAGGGTCGATGAAAAAGGGGAAGGCCCTCAACAAGGTGGATTGACACTGTGGCTGTGACGATGGGCTCAAGTATAGCAGGGATCACAGAGCTGGCGCGGGACTGGGCGGTGTTTCCTTCTGCGGTGCATGAGGTCTCTATGAGTTGGAGATGACTCGACGGCACCTAACAACAACAACAACATGCCTCCTGAGTGTCAGTGGCTACTGTCAGACACACATTAGAAAGGAGATCCGGAAAATTCTCAAGAGGCAGTTTCTGGGGGATGAGGTTATTGAGGGTCTGTTGAGTGGAGGAGGTTTCCAAGTGCTATCTTAGGTACTTAAATGTAGACTGAATTTTTCAACAAAATGCTTTTATCACGTAAGAAATTTCCATTTTAATTGAACCAACCCACGTAGCTTCCAGCCAAACAAAAGACAGTCATATGAGCTGAACATTTACATTAGGTAGATACACTCCATGGAGAGATCAATCATGGGAGAAGAGAAGGGCTGTGTATGCACAGGGAGACAGCTCAGGGGGCAGGAGTGCATGGAGGGAAGGACACACGGAAGAGGTAACTATGGGAAGGAAGTGGGAGGGGAGCTGTTGAATTGTGGGAAATAGCAGCCAATGTCATGAGACAAAGTATATGTGAGCTGTTGTATGGAAAATGAATTTGCTCTGTAAACTTTCACCCAGATCACAATAAAAAATATTAAAAATAAAGTTCCATTTTTGAGATAAAATGTAGATTATGACATTTGTGTTCAGCTTTAGGTATATCAGGGCATTTTGGCTGTATAGTGATTAAAGTGCCTGGCTGCTAACCAAAAAGTTGGCAGTTCAAACCCACCAGCACCTCCACGGGAGAAAGATGAGGCAGTTTGCTTCCGTGAAGACTGATAGCTGTGGAAACTCTATGGGGCAGTTGTACTCTGTCCACTAGGGGCACTGTGAGTTGGAATCGGCTTGATGATAGTGGATTGGGTTTGGCTTTTGGGTTAGGTGTGTTATTACATTAAATATACATTCACTTAATTAAAAATCAAATATTTTAAATGTTTTCTTCCTCTGAACAGAATATTCCATTCCACAAGGTCCAGCGTTTTATCACATCGCAGGATCACCAGCCCGCTCCCGACAACCGCATCCTCAGTATGGTTGTGGGTAAGGTGAAGGTGAGTCACTGTGGAAGCCCCATTTGAGTATGGTGAGTATGGTGTTTATTCCTGTGTTTCCCTCCTTATTCAACTGCTGGCATCAGCCTCTGCACCCACCTCGGCACCTGCTCGATCGTGGGGATCACTGCCTTACTGGCATCGTGGAATGGTGCCCTAGGTCCTGGGCCCAGTCAGGTTTACACTCTGACTTGGCCTTGTGGGTAGTATCCTGGTCCTCAGGAACACCCCACTCTGTGCTCTGGACGCCTCATCCCCCTTGAAATACCTAGCAGGTTCCTGGCAGCCAGAGTGCCCACGAGGACAGGTGGCTCCAGGGCCCCTGTGGAAGATATGCTGGACTCCGTCCCTCCTGGGAGGGGCACCTAGAACCTAGTTAAAGAACCGACAATGAAATGTCTGGAGTAGCTTTGTTGGTGAACTCTCTCCTCCATGGTGGTGGATGGGCTCCTCATGGAGAGGACTAGTCATCAATCACCTTCTGAACCAGCAGTCCACCAGGTGGCTCTGTCCTACAGAGGGTCTTCAACCTGACACCCAGTGAGGGCATGATGAAAAGCCATGGTTGCGGCCAGAATGTTACTGTGAACATGACCTTGTAAAGGAAAATCCTCAAATGTTACAGTCAGTACACTTGGTAACTTCAGAGAGTCAGGTTTGGGCAGCAATCTTAGTATATTGAGCCCGGTGCCTTTGGGGGCACACTGGAGCTGCTGGCACAGTGACTGGCAGACCCAGTGCTGGAACTGCCGTGGGAGCATTTGCGACCTGAATGGCGTGCTTTTCTTCCATGGGCAGATCTCTCTTCTTGAGTTGCAGAGTCAAATGTTGAGGGATGAAAAGGGCAAGGGCCTGGCAGCCACACACCCGGTTTCATCCCGTAGCACCTCTGCCCTTGGGTGGGGTTAAGATAGGCGGGTCTGCAGATGAACCTTTTCCGTTTTTCTTTCCGAAGGTGAATGGAGAGCCGCTTATGGAGTTTCACCAGGCCTTTGTGCTCAAGAATATGAATGACAAATGGATTTGCACTAACGACATTTTTAGAGTGGCTTTACCTCATTTTGGTTGACTACTGTATACTGTCTTCATGCTAGCATTTTACTCTGCTGGCCACTTAGCATGACTTTTACAAAGATGTAAAGAGTGCACTGGACTTTTCTTTGATTTGCTTGGAAGTGCTTTGATAAATAAAATGGATGATTGCTAAAAGAAATTCAACAAGAGTGGCAGCTTCAGGGAGGGGTGGAGACTTCAAGCCCCTCCCAGGGGCTCTCAGGTAAAGCCTGAGAATTAGGGGGAAAAGATGGGTCTGTAACAGGAGAAGCATCTGTTGGTCCTTGATTTCCAGTAAATAGAAGCAACCAAGACACTTCTTTGGAGATAAACATCTTAAGAAGGTGGATTATTTTTATCAGGAGTGTCAAGAAATATAACGGTACATTAGGTTACCTGGAATACTTTTCCCTGATCTTTGTTGTTGTTGTTGTTGTTATTTGCTGTCTAGTCGGACCGACTCATAGCGACCCCTCCTTGGGTTTCCGAGGCAGTATCACTATGGAAGTATAGAAGATATACTGAGTCCTCCAAGGAAACGTCAGGTTTTCAAACCAAATCTTCTTAGAGGGCTCCCATTTTGTGTTCAACCAAAAATCAGCGGACGAAGTAGCTAAGCCTAAGCCAGCGATTTTTGTAGCTGTGCTCAGAGTATCTGCGAGATGTTAGCTGGCATGAAGGAGCTCTGGCATGCCCACTGTTAGGGTGTAGGGATTGCCTTTGCCAGCACCTCACACGTTCCTCTGTTGAACAACCGGTGGGCCCCTCTAGTGTGTTCTTAAACCCGTGGAACTGTTTGTCTAGAACTCTTAAATACTTGAAAAGGACAGTCCTAGAGATGGAAAACTTTCACCAGAATGAAGCACAGGATTCCAAGGCAGTAACACACAGTCTCAGACACACAAAGCACAGAGCTGGGGCAGACACCTCTGTGGCTATATTGCCAGCAATGGTACTGAGATGCCCAAAATTGAGGTCTGTGGTTCTCATCATACAGTGTTTGCAGGGGCCACCAGGGGCTGCTGATAAGCAAACATGGGCTGGCTCTTTTCAGACTGTGGCCCTTCTGGTCACGCCATCCTGGCTGAGGTGTGGGAACACTGTGGTGGTGTGTGGGAGGCACCTCACATGTCACCATGCCGCGGAGGATATCATTTTGCTTCTCCGTGGAGCAAAATGGATGCAGCAAATTCAACACGGTGGCCAGAACCTTGTGTCTGGTAACCTGCAAAGCAGAAAGCTTCCAATGTGAGGTCATGTGATCCTCTCTGTATCTGAAGTCTTAGCAGAAACGTTTATATCTAATACACTGTTATACAAGAGTTGTCGTCTTTAAAGACTTGTGGACGTGTCATTGCTTGTGTCCATCTGAGATAAAAACTTGTTCCCTTATAATAAACTTGACATGTTTTTCATGCTTACCTATACTCCTATAACACTACTGGAAATACAAGCCAGTGTTCAGAACCCTCTTTTAATCACTAGCTTGTTCCGGTGTGGTGTTTGTTTAGTTTTTGGTTATTTGGCATTTTCTACATAACGAACAATCTCATCTGCAGAGAAGTTTCATTTCTTCCTTCCTATCTGGAGATCTTCCTTTCTTACAGCATTATCTAGGACTTCCAGTATGATGTGGAATAGGAAGAGTGACAACGGACATCCTCGTCTTGGTCATAATCTTTTAGGGAAGCATATGGTTTCTCCCATTAAGATTGAGGCTAGGTGTAGGGTTTTTGTAGATGTTCTTTATACAGGAAATTCCCCTCTATTCCTAGTTGCTGAGAGTCTTTATCATCAATGGGAGTTGTTAGATTTCGTCAAAAGCTTATTCTGTCTGTTGATACGACCAAATCACATGGGATTCAGTTCTGATAGAATATATGGATAATCTCCTACTTTGTTCAGAGAACAAGGAAGCCTGTGAGAAGACTTCCACTTACTTGCCCTGAGCATTAGCAGAACAGGGACATAAAGTTTCAAAATGTAATTACAATTTTGCCAAAATATAGTCCATAATTTAGGGCATGATCTATCTAAGAAGGAAAAACACGCTCTCCTCTAGACTGAAGACTATCTAAATTGATCTAGACCCCTCGGAAAACAATTGAGAGGATTTCTGGGTTTTACTGGATGTTGCAGAAAGTGGGTGTCAAATTTTTCTGAGCTTTCAGTAATAGACCCTCTTCTCAGGGAGCCCAACCATGAATAGACCTTCTGTAACCTGAACAAGGCTCCCTACCAGCCTCTTTCCTTCAGCATCCATAACTACAAAAAGCCATTCAGCCTATTTGTGCATGAGTGAGCTGGACAAGTCCTTGGGGTTTTAGCTCAACTTTGTGGGAACCATCAAAAACCCACACTCACTATAGCCTCAGTTGCAAAGGCTTATTCCCCAGTCTTAGGGCAATTCTTATCACCATGCTAAAAACTTACGCTTCTGCTGAGTTAATTCTAGACTCTTGTGGACGTTATGGCTCCTTACATGGTACAGATATTACTACTAACTGAGAACATGCAAGAGTTCACCAGCTAATTAACCTCTTAGGAGATTCCATTATTTTCTCCCTCTCACATTACTATTCACTGCTGCAGCAGCCTGGAACCTGCCACTCTCCTGCCCCTACCAGAAGAAGGGTGACTTACTGTCTTATTTCACTCAGTTATTGACCCCATCGAGAGTTATATTTCATATGCATGTGAAAGTTGGACAGTGAATAAGGAAGACCAAAGAAGAGTTGATATCTTTGAATTGTGGTGTTGGCAAAGAATACTGAAAATAACATTGACTGACTGCCAGAAGATAGAACAGATCTGTCCTGGAAGAAGTGCAGCCAGAATGCTCCTTGGAAGTGAAAATGACCAGACTTCATCTCACCTACTTTGGTCATGTCAGAAGGCACCAGTCCCTGGAGAAGGTTTTCTTGCTTGGTAAAGTACAGGGTCAGCAAAAGGGAGACTTTCAACAAGATGGATTGACACAGTGGTTGCAATGATGAGCTCAGGGATAGCAAGGACAGTGAGGCTGGTACGGGACCGGGCAGTGTTTTGTTCTGTTGTACATGGGGTCACTATGAGTTGGAGCTGACTTGATGGGACCTAACAACAGCAACAATTGAAGATCTCCTTTAGAAGATACATTTTTTTTCATCTGAGGTATAATCAGCCCAGATGGCAAAACTTACTATACTTCCTAGAGCTTGTCAACCAGCCAGCAACCAGAGAGGAATCAATACACAGATAGCAGGTCTGCTTTTGGAGCAGTACATTACTTTTGGATGCTTTGGAAATGGAGAGGGTTTCTCACTTCTGCTGGAACTCCATCCAAAATGGACAACAAATTAGGGAACTCTTAAATGTGCTCTGATTGCCTAGTGAGGTGGCTGTATAAAGGGTGAGACCTGTGAAAAGAGAGATGGGTGGAAGCTAAGGAAATGTTCCAACCGGTCGTTGACCAAATATGCAGCCCTGACCTGGTTATGATTCTAACTGAACCCTTAGCTAACTCTTTAAACCAAAAAACCCAAACTCACTGCCATCGAGTTGATTCTGACTCACAGTGACCCCCGTTGGGTTTCCAAGGCTTTAAATCTTTACGGAAGTATATTGCCCCATCTTACTTTCATGGAGCAGCTGGTGGGTTTGAACTGCTGACCTTCTGGTTAGCAGCCAAATGCCTTATCCACTGTGCCACCAGAGCTAACTCTCTAGAGGGAGTAAAATGCATATTATGGAATATCTCCGCCCCGATCGTGAAAGGAAGACTAGAAAGTATCTGGTGTACTCTTCACTCAGATAATCTCTGGCACTCACAAAATGGCCACTTGGTGGCACAAGATGATTTCAAGAGGATATTAGCTAAGTTCTTGAAACTACTCATCTTGGTATGGACCATTTGGTTACTATCTGTTACTGGGGAGCTCTGGTGGCATAGTGCCTAAGGCATCAGACTGCTAACCAGAAAGCTGGCGGTTCAATTGCACCAGCCACTCCTCAGAAGGAAGGTTGGGCAACCTACTTCCGTAGTGATACCACCTTAGAAACCCAAGAAGGGGTCGCTATGAGTTGGATCTGACTCAATGGCAGTGAGTTTGGTTTGTTTCTGGTCTGTGGAGTTCAGAGGAGCTCTGGTGCTGCAGTGGATAACCACTTGGCTGCTAACAGAATAGTCAGTGGTTCAAACCCACCAGTTGCTCCATGGGAGAAAGGTGTGGGCAGTCTGCTCTGTGAAGATTAAAACCTTGGAAACCTTATGGGGCAGTTTTGTCCTGTCCTATAGGTTTGTTATAAGTCAGAATGACTCCACAGCAGTGGATTTCTTTCTTCTTTCTCCTTGTATTTTGTAAGATCTCCAAGGAATTGAGGAATGGTGGAGCTACAGAAACCAAGACAAGGTTTTTTCTCAGAACAGACAGGGAGAGCACCTTCCCCCAGTGCTCGTGCCCTGTATTCAGGCTTCTAGCCTCCTGAACTGTGAGAAAATAAATGTTTGCTCATTAAAGTCACCCACTTGTGGTATTTCTGTTAAAGCAGCACTAAGGAACTAAGACATTGGTGTAAACACTTAAAAAAAACACAGCTGAGTTTGTGGGTCATGTATCACCTGTTGACATCATAATCCTAGAGAAACAGGAAAGGTGGGACATAGCCAGGAACCAAAGCCTCAGGGCCCTTGGAACACCTTAAGATGGATTTTGTTTAAAGTTTATTATGGTAAAAATATATATAACAAAATGTTTGCCATTTTAATTATTTTTAGGCATGCAATTCAATGACATTAATTACATGCATTCTATCACCACTATTTTTCAGGTACTTTTTATCCAGCTTCTACCCTCCATGGATTTTTCATGTTTTAATAATTGTGTGTCTATTTTCAGGATGAGTTGAGGAACCTCATTTTCAAAAAGCTACAGCCCTCACAGCTGCTAAAAAGCTATTTGACTTTGTTTCCTACCTGGATTATACTAGCTTTGTACTTCAGGAACCATTATGAAAGAATTCTGTAAGACACTGTCC